TAGTGCTATATGATCATCACATAATATCTTGTGTGAAGCATGCCTACCTCTTCCTTGAATACATTTCACGATAGGAAGGAAGTAAGGAGAATAGCTTTGTTTTGTGTTTAGCCAAGTCTTTTCCTTTTGCTTTTAAAGATCATCATGCAACAAATTTGCAATGGCTGATGATTTAGGAAGCAAACCTACTCTCTCCTTGAAAATCTTCATGACATGAGCGTGCAAGAATGATGAACAGCTTTTGAAAACACTCTGTTTTGCTCTGTTCCAGTTTTGTAGCAGCAAGGTTTTCATCAGAAACAATGGTCATCCGGCCATTATTATGTACGACCGGCCAAGCATGTTGTACGGTAATGGTAATTTTCTAACAAAACAGAGCAAATTTTGAGGCCGAAATAGAACTGTTTTCTGACTGTTAACAAGGCAACTTCTGGCAGCAAACAGAGAGGTTTCTAGAGGATGTTCTTGCTTGTGTGCATTCGACTCATCGCTCATTCAAGTCCATTAGATTAGTAGCTTTGATATTTATTTTATAATAATTAGTTAATTAATTAGCTCGTTCATTAGTATTTTGTAATAATCAGTTAATTAATTAGTTCATTCATTAGTGTCTGTAATAATTAGTTAATTAGGTCATTCGAACCCTCTTGTGCTAGGGAAAATTTATAATATGTGATGTATGTCTTCCAATCCCCATTTCTTTCTCCGTTTTATTTACATGCTTACCATGGTTGTATATAGTATCATGTTTTCATTTCATATCATTAACATGCTTTGCATCCATTTTTCAATGTATTAAGGTTCGATTCATCATTTTTTAATATCATTTTCATTCCATACTTGCTTGAATACGTGCGTTACCGCATGCTTTGAGTGAATCCATATGACATGTTAATAAGTCAAACCTAATAGTTGCATTCCTGTATGTGTTGCATTAGTCATGTGCATTGCTAGGGTCATGCATTTTTCTAATTTCTTTCTTTTTCTTTGGCTTACCTCCAAGTACTAGTTGAGCATTTTTGGCTTTAGCATATTGATGTGTGATATTGTTGCCATGCGTAGCATCTTACCATGAGGCTGCGTGCTTACTCGAAATGAACTGTTTGAATGCCTGTGGATGAAAGTTAGTTTACTTGCATTAGGAATGATTTTGATCAAATGTATATACGAGCTCATTTCTTTCATTTTGAGTTGTGTGCACTCAAAACTCTTTTAAAATCATCACATAAAATCAAGTCATTTCCAAAGCAAGTGAAACAATCTATACTTGTGTGCCTCACATAGTAAGATAGTATAACAAAATCAGAACAAGAGCATATAATGTTGATAAAATTCACATCATGATTAGTAGAGGCCGATCTTTAATTAGGTGAGGGGGGTGCTCAATTCATGACCTTCCCCTCTCAAACCTAAGTTCCCAAACCGAGACAACTTTGGTTATAACGGACAAGTGGCCTTTGGCATGAGTCACAAGTTTCCTAAATTTTCCAAAAATATTTAGGTGGCGATTTTGAAATCTGCAATGCAGTCCATTTTTGGTATCTCTAATGATTAATGGATTTCCTAGGATTTGTCGGATTTGGACTCTCATTTGTTTTTTTCTATTTCACATTGCACTTGTGAAACCAGATTCAGAACCATGGGAGTCTGAACTATAGAGCTATTGTACCAGAGGAGACTAAATCCCTCCAAGGAGTACGAAAAACCAGCTACAGTTGCCTTGTATTTATGTAAGGGTAAATTTGTCTTTTTGACGTAGAAGTTAACAGCGTGGCAATTGCAGATGAGTCCAAAACCATAGTGGAGATGTTTGCATATTTCCAAACCTCAAGGGAGTCATCTGCAACAACCCAAAACCACAGGGAGGTTAAGTGCTTTTTGTCATTTTTTTTTTAGTTATGATTCAAAAAGTATGAAATTATATCATTTTTTTCTTTAGTTCTAAGATGCATATCGTGCATACTGTGTACCATAGTCTTTTCGTATTATTATACAGTTATGAAAGAAAACACTATAAAATGTATAACCTAAATTTATTCTAAGTGCATGACTTACGAAAGAGATGAAAAATGGTTGGAGACGATTTAGATTCATGAAACATCTCACATCACAAAAAAAAATAGATTTCTACAATATATATATATTGTTTAGAATAATATTTCAAGATATAAATTTAAGACAAGCAAGGTGGTCACCTTAGGCCTTCAAATTTTGTCAAATTTTACAAGCCCGGAATTGTTTTTAATTCTTATGGTATTAATAGGTTTAAAAATAAAAGCTCAACCCTATCAATTTAACTTTATAATCCAAATTAAAGGTGTTAGGATCAAGGGACACCAGAAATCAATCACACACAGAAAAGAGACAAGATATTTTCGTGGTTTGACAACTGCCTACGTCGGTGGAGAGATATCCACTATAAAATTTCCCGAGGGAGTTTACAACACTCACACCTCACTCCCTCTCTATAGCACTCTCACCTCACAGATACATACACTCTGTGTTTTCTTCTTTTTTCTATGTTATTTTTTCTCTTCCTCCCAGCCTTTATTTATACATAAAAGAGAAGGAAACAAGGGCAATAAAAGGAAATTATTGGGCTACCAACTACCAACAGCCATCTTCCCTCTTCCCTCCTATTTCTTGACTTGGAGACCTAACCTCCAACCTCCATGTGGGCTAGAGTTAACAATTCTCCCCCTCCACGCTCATATGGATAACTGACTTCTTACTTGAAGTCTATCCTAGTCAAATTCTTGCAAACTTCCAGTTTGTCTCTAGTGACAACCTTAGTCATCATGTCAGAATGATTCTTGTCCATGTGAATCTTCACCAGCTTCATCAGCTGTTTTTCCATCACTTCTCATATCCAATGATGCTGGACATCTATGTGCTTTGTACGTGAGTGGTACATAGAATTCTTGCTCAGATCAATTGCATTCTAACTATCACAATGTACCTTGTACTCGTCTTACTGTAGACACAATTCTTAGAGAAACCGCTTTAACCACAACATTTCATTTCCAGCATCTACGGCAACAATGTACTCTGCCTCTGTTGTAAATAAAGCAACACACTTTTGTAATTTGGACTACCATGAAACATCTCCCCCTACAAAGTTGAATAAAAATCCTAATGTAGATTTTCTACCATCAAGATCACTCGCCATATCGGCATTTGTAAAACCCTCCAAAATTAGTTTAGCTCCCCCAAAACATAGACACATCTTTGAAGTTCCCTTGAAGTACCAAAGAATCCATTTGACAACCTCCCAATGCTCCTTTCTTGGATTGGCGAGGAATCTGCTCACAACGCCAACTGCGTGAGCTATATCTGGCCGGGTACACACCATTTTATACATCAAACTCCCTACTGCGGAAGCATAAGGGATTGCCTCCATTTCTTTCCTTTCAGAGCTAGTCGTGGGACACGAACGCTTTGTCACCTTGAAATGGTTGGCCAGTGGTGCGCTGACTGGCTTGGCATCTTTCATGTTGAACCTTTCAATCACCCGTTTAACATATTTCTCCTATGACAGCCATATCTTCTTAGCTTTCCTATCACGAACAATTTTCATGCCCAAAATCTGCTGTGCAGGGCCTAAATTATTCATGTCAAAGTACTGCGACAAGTCCTTTTTCAACTTGTTGATCATAGCAATATCATGTCCGATGATCAGCATATTATCGCCATGCAACAGTAGAATGATGAAGTTTCCATTCAAAAACTTTTGGAAATATACACACTGGTCTGCTACCATTCTTGTGTACTCATGATCCACCATGAATGAATCAAACTTCTTGTACCATTGTCTTGGCGCCTGCTTTAGGCCATAAAGACACTTCTTCAGTTTGCAGACTAGATTCTGTTTCCCTTTAACTTCAAATCCTTCTGGTTGCTCCATGTAGATTTCTTCCTCCAAATTACCATAGAGAAAGGCAATTTTGACATCCATCTGTTTTATCTCCAGATTCAAGTGAGCTGCTAATTCCAGAGCTACTCGAATAGAAGTCATCTTCACAACTAGGGAGAAGATATCATTAAAATCAATTCCCTCACTACAAAAAAATTGACTTTTTGCGACGGTAAAATACCGTCGCTAATACTCCTAATGCCGTCGCTAATACTTTTTGCGACGGCAAAATGACTTTTTGCGTCGGCAAGAGGGGGGTCGCAAATGCAGGGGTTGCAAAAGAGTTTTTGCGATGGCAAGTGCCGTCACTAATGTTTTGCGAAGGCATTTTTGCCTTTTTGCGACGGCATCGTACAGTCGCTAATAGCATTTGAAATTTCTTGACTTTTTTGCGACGGCCCTATTTTACCGTCGCTAAAAATATTATTTGAGACGGCAAAAAATACCGTTGCTAATAGTCTTTTTTTTTTTGAAAAAACACTGTTTTTTGCGACGGTGTGATGCTGTCGCAAAAAGTATAAAAAATATGAAATTTTCTATTTTTTGCGACAGTGTAATGCCGTCACAAAAAATATTAAAAAATAATAAAATTTCTATTTTAAATAATATAATTTCTATTTTTTGCGACAGTATAATGTCGTCACAAAAAGTAAAACCTGTAACAAAATTAATAAAAATATTAAAATTTTCTATTTTTTCCGACGGTGGTGCCGTCCCTCACTCTCTAAGAGTTTATTATTTACATTCCATTCACAAAAACATCATAACAGAAAATAAAAATAAAAATTGATAAAACCATCAAATTCAATATTTTACAAAAAACAATTAAACTGTACATGTTCATAAAAGCATATTTAAATTATAAAATTCATCCCAATCCTTAAAAAAAATAATAATAAAATAAAATCTAAAATTCACCAATCAACACATTGGATATTTAAATGCTCTTACAAAAAATAAAAAAATAAAAAATTTCTAACAAGATTTCAATTTTGAGCCTATTTCAAAAATCAAGCTGCAAATTCCTTACTTCTAGAATCAGATCTTCCCCTCGGTAAAATTTATCCTTTTGACCTACAAATAAATAGAGAACAGTTGCAAATTATAATCTTTGGGAGAAACCAACTATTTAAACACCAGTAATGAAGACAATGAAGACTGTGGAAAGAACACTTGCGTTGTCATCAGGAACAACTGCATATCTCTCAATTGGAGAAACCAAAGCTTTCCCTGCTCACAAAAATAATAATAATAATAATAATAATAATAATAATGGAATTCAATGTAGTCCAAAATAATGTAATAAACTCTTATTGTAATATACCTGGGGAATTTTTTCATGTCTGATGGGAGTGGGAAGGGTTGGACTTAAAGGGTTCCTACCTGTCTTGGATTGTAGAATACACAAATTTATTTTGTAGGAACTCACATGCAGAGGGTCCATCAATAGGGAGATCATACATGTTCATGGAATAGGGTGATTAGCCTCTCATCAGTAAGTATGCAAATTAAAGTTATGTTTGGATAGTAGGAATTACATAGAATCTCATCAATACTAAAATATTCATTTCTGCATAAAAAGATAACAATATCACTTTATAAGATGAGATTCAAGCCTATTTATTTAATTAAGATGAGATTCAAGCCTAGACGGGCTCATGGTATGCATCCTTAGTCCAATAAGATGAGATTCAAGCCTATTTATTTAATTAATCGATAGTTTAGTTGACTTGGTGTTGAAAAACTGTCACACTATTGACCAAAATTAATTGAATATTTCATCTGAGTCCAAACAATACAAACATTTTAAAAACTATCATATACAGGATACTCACAATGACACGGGGAGGGCTTGTCAATCCACTAGAGGCCCTTTTTTGTTTCAAAAGAGCAGCCCGTTTCTGCTCCCTCATCTACCAAAAAAAAAAATGCAATCCTGCCTTTAGGCAATGACAATATTATCTTTTATTCGATGAAAAGCTACAAATACAAGACCCTTAAGAGTAAAAAATAATATTGTATTGCTGGTTTGAACACATAAAAGCTATGTCCTTGTACATCTGATATGGTAATGACCCATTGGACTGAACTCACCTGTGAGCCTTCCATATCAATCATATTTCCATTGGCCAGAATAGTATCAACAACTTGTTCGTTGTCAAATACAACAAATCCAAAGCCCCGGGCAGTTTGCGGATTGAACTTTTTTTCCAAAACTTTATTTTTAAACCTTTTTTTCCCCCATGTTGTCAATCTTTATTTTGGACATTTTTTCTCATATTTTCTAAAATGCTCCAACATTAATAATTAATGAATTAAACTTAATGAATTAATTCAGATTTCAGAATCAATTAACATACAGTCACAGAATAGGCAATTTTCAGATTCAGAATCAATTTTCAGAATCAATTAACAAAATCAACAGGTTGTCAATTTTCTGATTGTTAATTGATTTTCAGAATCTGAATCTGAATTTTCAGAATCAATTAACAATCCATGTGCATTATTTAGCTTAATTTTCTCAACTAGGTTTTAAACCTTATCTGGTTCTTCATAAGCAATTTCTGCAAGTATGATGTTCACACACTTCACACGGAGTTGAAAATCATATCAACTGGGATCAACAAAAGATACATTTATATTATCATGTCATTCATGTTTTAAATACAAATGTATGCTTTAAAATACCCAAAGCAAAACACCCAAACATCTAGATAAATAAAATACAAATGTATGTTTCAACACTTCTAGCTGCTGAGAGCTGCTACACAATATGTTAAAAATTATCACCCTAACTGAAATCCTTCTTTTCATTCTAAACCTTCTTTTTCATAATACCCATTATTCTAAACCAGGGTTCACAGTTTAATACTAGTATACTAGCACATTTGATATTTCTCAATTATACTAGCACAGTTTAATACTAGTATACTATGCCTCTCAACTAGTCAATTAGATCATTATAAAGAAAAAGAAAAAGAAAACTACTTCATCAGGTAAGTAGAATCCATGTTGTTTACAAAAAAAAAAATGTAAAAATTCTTCATACAACATTCAAACCCATCACAAAGATAGCATGCTTATCAATAAACAATCAGAATCAATTTTCAGATCAAACAAAACAAATTCATATTTCAGATTCAGATTTAGATTTAAGAATTAATAAAATTAACATACAGATTTCAGATTTCAGATTTCACAACTAAGATCAACATTACACAGTGTGAGACACAACTAAGATCAGATTTCAGATTACATAGTGTGATCAACTAAGATCAACATTTCAGATTCAGATTAACATACAAACATTACAGACATCACAGAATGAGGGAGACATTACACACACAGATTCGATCGGTGCAGTGCAGAGATGAGAGAGAGAAAGAGAGAGAGGCTTACCTGTGAGACAGTGTGAGTCTATCGGGGCGAGAGAGGGAGAGACAGAGATGAGACTGATCTGATGAGATGAGAGAGTGAGGGAGACAGAATAGATCAGAGATATATCTAATATATATATATCAGATGTATATATATATAACAACCATCGGGCTGAGAGAGAGAGTTTACCTGTGAGAAGATCGGCGGTACGATGATCGGTGCAAATCGATGAGATGAACAACGAGAGAGTGAGAGAGTGATCGGTGCAGAGATGAACGAGATCGGTGCAGAGATGAACAAGAGGGTGAGAGAGAGAGAGAGAGAGAGAGAGAGAGAGAGGCGACTGAGAGAGTGATGTGAGGGAGACGATTAGATTTAGGGTTTTTTTTTGTTCTAAGAGATTGGAGATTTTGGGGGGCGCGAGAATGGAAAAAATGGGGGGAACCGAGCGGGCGGGATGAGAAAAAAAAATTAAAAAAAAAATTCATCATAAATGAATATTTAAATAATAAAAATAAATAAATAATAATTTTCATTTTCTTTTCGTTATTAAGGTTGAAAATTTATTTGTTTCATATATATTTTAATGAAAAATATTTTCCACTAAAATAAAAGTTAATTTTTTGTAGTTAATGAAAAATATTTTTCTGCGGCCTATTTTTTTATTACTAAAAATCATGAACTAATTTTTTGTGATAGAGGAAAAGGAGCGGCAGTAGTAGTGAAGGTGGTGGATAAGAGATGATGGTGGTGGTGGTGGTGATGGTGATAGCGACAGAGATTAGTGGTGAAGTTGTGGTAGTGGTAGTGTAAATGGAGTGGCAAGGGTGAAAGAGAGGTAATAGTAGTAGTAGTGGCAGTAGTGGTAGTGGTAGTAGCGGAGTGGTGGCAATAATAGTAGTAATGGTAGTCGTAGAGGTGAAGTGGCGACAGTAGAAGTAATGGTGGTGGTGGAATGGTGTTTGTAGTAGTGGTGAAGGTGGTAGAGGAGATGGGTGGTGAGAGAGAGAAATGAGTGAGAGACAGATAGAGGAGAGAGACAGACAGAGTGATAAGCGAGAGAGAGACAAAGTGGTCACTAAAAGTGAATTTTCTTATAGTGGATCGATATTTTTCTGCGGCCCATTTTTTTTTGTTATTAAAAATCATGAACTAATTTTTTGTGGTAGAGAAGAGGGAGCGGCAGTAGTGGTGAAGGTGGTGGATAAGAGATGGTGGTGGTGGTGGTGGTGATGACGAAAAAGATTAGTGGTGAAGTTGTGGTAGTGGTAGAATAGATGGAGTGGCAGGGGTGAAGGAGAGATAATGGTAGTAGTAATGGCAGTAGTGGTAGTGATGGTAGTAGAGTGGTGGCAATGGTAGTAGTAATGGTAGTCGTAGAGATGAAGTGGCAACAGTGATAGTAATGGTGGTAGTGGAATGGCGTTTGCAGTAATGGTGAAGGTGGGAGATGGGTGGTAAGAGAGAGATGAGTGAGAGACAGATAGAGGAGAGAAAGACAGAGACAGAGACAGAGAGAGAAGAGTGAGAGACAAACAAACAGACATAGAGAGAGATGAGTGAGAGACGAATAGAGAAAAGAGATAGAGAGACAGAGTGATGAGCGAGAAAGAGACAAAGTGGTTGCTAAAAGTGCATTTTCTTATAGTGGATCGATAAATCGATAGGGAGCTCAATAAATAAAGAAGACAGATAATTCAAAACTCTGTTCAAAACTTAATTCAAATCAATTTTTTTAATATTTTTAAAATATTTTAATTTTGTGAGAGACAGATAAAGAAAAGAGATAGAGAGAGACAGAGACAGAGATAGAGTGATGAGCGAGAGAGAGAGATAGACAAAGTGGTTACTAAAAGTGTATTTTCTTATAGTGGATCGATAAATCGAGAAGGAGCTCGATAAATAGAGAAGATGGGAGTAAGAGAGTGAGCAAGGCGAACATAGTGAGGGAGAAATAGACAAGTAGACACAGAGAGAGAGAGAGAAGAATGATGAGTGAGAGAGAGACAGGGAGAGAGAGATAGATAGAAAAAGAGATAGAGAGAGATAAAGAAAGAAAGAGAGAGAGAGATGGAAAGATAGAAAAAAAGAGAGAAACAAGAGATGAGCGAGAGATAGACAAAAAAAAGAGAGAAATAGAGCGAAAATAGATAAACGAGAGAGAGACACAAAAAAAGAGAGAGACAGAAAGAAAAGAGAAATGAGCGAGAGAGATAGAAAGATAAGAGAGAGAGAGAAAAAAAAAGAAATGAGAGAGATAGAGATAAGAGAGATGAGCGAGAGAAACAGACAGAGAAAACAGATGAGAGAGATAGAGAGAAGAGAGGGAGGCGAGAGACACAGAGAGAAAATGAGAGAGAGAGAGAAACAGGAAGACATAGAAAGAGAGAGAGATAGAGATAGAGATAAATGAATGAAAAGAGATAAAGAGAAGAGAGAGAGATAGAGACAGAGAGACAGGAAGATGAAAAAATGAATGAAAAGAGAAATGTTATATCAAAAGAGTAAGACGACATTGTTTTTTTTAATTTTTTTTGCGACAGAAAAATACCGTTGAATTTATTCAAACCATTTTGTGACTGTATATATATGAAGCTATCTCAAAACCACAATCACCAAAATCTTTTAAAAATTCACTAAATACCAAAAATACAAAAAAAAATATCATAATTCAATACATTTTTTTTTTGTATTTTTATGTATTTATTAATTTTTAAAAATATTTTTTCATAAATTTTTTATTTTTTAGATACATCTAAGTAAGGTACATCTAAAAAAAATATTTAAAATTTTAAAAATATTCACTAAAAAAAAAACACGAAAGTCACTTTTTGTGACGGCAAAAAATGTCGTCTCAAAAAAGCAGAGTATTTGCGACGGCAGATTAAACCCATTTTGGAAATTCTATATTTTTTTATCACAAAAATCAAATCAACATTTATCCTTAAAGAACTTTTAAATCAACAACAATAATACATAACATATATATATAACTCACACTACAAGAAAAGTGGGTTTATGAGACGGAATTATTTGCGACGCACACTTGCCGTCTCAAAAAGTCACTTTTTGCGACGGCAGAAAATGCCGTCTAAAAAAAGCAGAGTATTTGTGACGGCACTATTTGCCGTCTCAAAAAATGAGAGTATTCCGTCACAAATACTCTCATTTTTTGAGACGGCAAATAGTGCCGTCGCAAATGCTCTGCTTTTTTGAGACGGCAAATGGTGCCGTCGCAAATACTCTGCTCTTTTGAGACGGCACTTTCTGCCGTCACAAAAAGTGGCTTTTTGTGACGGTAAGTGTGCCGTCGCAAATAGTTTCGTCTCATATACCCAGTTTTTTTGTAGTGTCTTCTTCTGCCCAAAACCTTTGACCATCGAGCGAGCTTTATGCTGCAGTATTTTACCGTTGCCATCTTTCTTCAATTTGTACACCCATTTGTTTTTCAATGCCTTCCTGCCCTTTAGAAGTGAAACAAGCTCATAAGTGTGGTTCTTTTGCAAAGAACTCATCTCCTCCTTTATAGCTTGCAGCCAGCAATCTTTCTCTATATAACTCTTTGCTTCTGAAAAACTCTCAGGCTCCCCCTCATCAGTAATTAAAATATACTGAGAAGCGGGATATTTGGTTGATGGTATTGCAGCACTTCCAGATCTCCCCAACTGAGGTCCAGTTGCCTCTGGTTGAGGGGGTTGCTCCCCTTGCTTAACGCCCTCTTCACCCAGGTCTTCATCTCTTTCCTCCTAATCCTCAATTTATGGCATAGGATCCTGCAAATCTAGCACTTATTGTTACA